AATTCCAACTATTAGTAACTGATCTTCAAACACTGACCAAAGACAGGTTAATAACTTATTACGCTAGATGTGCGTTTCATCTACATTACACTCATTTGTTGCGCTCGATACAAAACAGTTCGTATGCCAAATTAAATACTAAGTTAAAGAGCGTTGAAAACCAAAAAGTACCGAAATATTGCACCAAATACGGCTTAATTTTAAATTAGGGAGGAAATTAAGATTTTATATTTCTTTAATTATGAGCATCAGAGGGTTTCTCTGTTGTCTTTCATCAACCAAATAATGTGAAAATATGTGATGAGTAAAATATAAAGAAAAGCAGGTTAGATTAAAGGTTGTATTGGTGCAAATTTGGAAATAACAGGAGATTTCAAAATTGAAAAAAACACGTTTAGAAAGGAGAACGTTGCTATTAAATTCATATTGACGTTTTCAAGTTCAAAGTTATCGAATTCACCGGTATTCCTTTTGTCCATGGAGGGGTGTTACTAGTTTAGAATTGTTAGTTGTGTTTTTAGTTTATGATGATGCTACATGAGAAGAGAAAATCGAACGGTGCTGATAAGTATCAGGGAGTATACCGACGTCCAGTTAATATCTCTTAAGTTTAGGTATAAATCTAGGCAACAGTTGTTTACCGATGTTCAAGTCCCATACACCTTTTTAACAGATACAAATCAAGATAAAAAAAACTGAAGGAATCACATGAACTCCAAAAAGAGAGGGACAAAATTTGAGCAAACACAGTTCAAGTTGCATGAATTTAAACGAAGAGAACCAGTTGCTTCGACAGGGTAAGCAATTGCTGCTTCGTATGAATCAACCATCACGCAATTCCAAAGATCACCCTCGGTTTTTTTGGTGGGGTTCATTCATGTTGTTCAGCTTTAGATTTTTATGTTGTGTTTTGTAGACTGATGTTTGTCTTTTGGTAGTTTTTCGCTTTTTGCATTTCTTCTATAGCTTTTGTATCTACCGCCTCTAGCTCTTTCACATCAAGTAAAAAGTGTCTTATGTCAAATATCAAATAAAACAGGCTTATAATTTGGCATGAATGACGTGCGTTTCGTCTACTGTGCATACGACTCATCAGTGCCACTCAAATCAAAACGATTGAGAGGCGAAAGGAATGTAACAGGCATAGTTAATATCAGACTGATTTTTACTTTTAAAAAGATAAGGAGTCACATGTTGTATCATTGCAAATAAGACAACACTTTTTACAAGAGACAAATGGAGGACGTAAAGAACTATAGCTCACCGTACGGCCGTCAACAGTGAGCAACATTCATATTGTATAGTATACTATACAGAAACCGGTATGCTGCAATGTTAACCAATTCAAAAGAGAACGCAAATGGGATGATTTTTGCAAGCTTGTGGTGTTAAATATGACCGAGTTAAAAAATGTTAGACAACATGTTCATTCAATTTACGATTACGTCATTGTAAGGTATGAATACTAGAATTTCTTTTTGTGTCATTAATTATAAATAAGTATGTAATGGAAATAATTTTGAATCAATCAGACATTTAAATGTACTTTTTCAGTATAGATTATGAAAGATATTTAAAAAGGATAATTTTGTCCAGGAAAGATCTTTATCGTTTAGTTAAAACACTCATAATGTTTTTTTTTTATTTTAATAAACGTTTAGCTAAAAACTCTTGCATTCTCTTCAAAGTATTCATTAATGAGATCTTAAATATTTAACACACCCACAGGAGACTCAAACAAAGTAGTCATAAAATTTTAATCAGACAGTTTTTTTTCTTTCAAATTTGTCGTTACAGAGTGAAAGATCCCCATTTGTTGCAACATTTGAAGCATTTTCTCATAATAGCTCATTTTTGTTTATAAGGATGCATGTTTTCAAGAACATTTACACAACGTTTTGTTCTATAAACACAAACTTCTGATCGTATTTTACCAACTTTGAATTTGCCGTTCAAATTATTTGTAAAATGAAACCGTGCATTTACACCACAATAATTATTTTTTACACTTGCGCTAAGCATGTTATTCCCATATATGTGAATTTCATATCCTTACCATATTAGGGGCGGACCCAAGGTTAGAGAAAACAGGGGTGGCATTATCCTTAATGGTAAAATAGCACCAGGCCTTGCGATGCGAAAATGTGCTTGACAAGTTTTTGCCAAAAAATGACATTTTGTTTTGATTTATAAAAAAAAATTTAAGTTTTCGTTCAAAATTGAATTATCATATATGTGTAACGGCATTCCAGAAATTTCATAATGTTTCCTATGTTATCCAATGTTTGATATTGTTGTATACGTTATTTGTGAAGCAGACGACGAGTCAAATTTTTTTTTTGGCATTTACGCCCTCTACGCACGCCCTTGAAACCCTCACTGTCGATGTTCTATTATTAAAAAATTATAGAAATGGTATCTAAAGATTTAAGACAGCAAAGGCATGTCGCAAGTGAGTTTAGACACAGACACATCGTATTGGTAAACCAATTCGTTATGGTGACTGTAAAAGTTATGTAGTGCCGATTTCAGTCGTTCTTCCTCATAACTCTGTTGGAGCAGTTAATGCATGTTTAAGGAGCATATCGCTGTTATTGGAGTCCGTATAGTGTTAAGTAACGTATTATTGAGATCTGTAAACGCTATATTATTAGTTACATAGTGTGTTAGTGTCACTAGCACACTGTGTAACGAATTTATCTTACCGACTTTCTTAGAATGTGGCATTTAGATTAGTGGCCTATCAAAGTGATCAAGTCTTCAATATTAAGAACCTAATTCCATTGGTCTATACAAAAACAAATGCCAACAATAACAATTTGTTAGCTTTTAATGTGTTTTCTGCACTTATTTCAATCGTTCATCATCAATTTCTCCGTCTGTTGAAACCTTTCAGATTATTCCTCCACACCGTGTTGTTTTTACAAAGGGACGTAACACCACTACTAACCGTGTATTGAAATAGACCACGCCTACTAACCCCCTATGAAATATACACGGTCTCCACTCGGTTGCTTTTAACCAATCATATTCCTAGAAATGTATAGGAGGTAAGATAAGAGTGTTTATCCTGGCTTAGTATATTAAAAAAACCATAGTCCAGGGTGTTGATAACCCATGTACCCGGGCGTTACTACCCATTACCCCGGGGAACTTCACGCGCGTTTTCCTTAGTTCAGTGGTTATTCTCAGTAAAGAATTATATTCTGTAGATTATCCATGATGTCTGTGATTAAATATGTGATCCATTAACGAATTTATTCTATTTTGTCGATCATTGGGCCATTCATTTTTAGTACATGCATCACTTGGCTAGCACGTCTTTAATAAACGGGATTACTGACCTAGTTATGCAAATGACCCACGTTGACTTCACGCCGTCTATGACATAACGCTTACGATATTGAGTGCCAACTTTGTTATATTCTAATTTCTCTGTCTTTGGATTACAAACTTCTTATATTTGACTACCTGTAGGGTACTACCCTATATCCCGTAAATGTCAAATTTCCAAAATTTCAATCAAACATTTTTTGAATAATAGAAAAGACGTTGCTTTCACGTTACACTTTGTGCCCGAATTTCTCGATTCTGACTAAGATCGGGGATAAATTCGTTATCTACGTTCATATCCGTAGATATGGGTATTTTAACACCCTGAAGTACATCAATACGCCTTGGGGCTGTTAAAATACCCATGAACGTAGATAACTTATAATGTTACTGCTGAAAAATGGGAATTTATTATTGGAAAGTTTAAATCATCATCACGCTTTTCATATATATTCTAGTTTTAAGTCGTCCATCTGTGTCGATATCGAAAAAAAGATGAAAAGATATGAAGCATCCAACTTTCGGTAGTATCTTTAATCGCAAGTTCACTTTAATAATTGAATGCTTCGTTTTGTAAATTTATTGGGGTGTAAAAGCGTTGACCGAAGTACATTTTGTATGATGCGCGGAAGCTCTTCATTCTAAATATTTGCGCACGGTCAACGCTTTTACACCCTAAAAAAATACTAAAAGAAGCATCCAATACTTATAATATTTTTTTTTTGCTAGGATCATGAAAACACGATTTCTATCAAGTGTTTCTTTTACCTAATTTATTGTGGAAGCTCGTGTCATCATGAATGTTACATTTCATTTTGAAATAAAAGGTAATTTCAGAATGACGCGAGATTGCTTTTAGCCAATCAAAATAACGTATTATAGTGAAACATATTGAGTGCCAACTTTGTTATATTCTAATTTCTCTGTATTATAAAGTAATAATTAAGATATATTAGATGTAAGCACTCATTGGAATGTGGTTCCACAAAATAATAAATATTACCAAAACAAATATTTAACTGGAAGGGAAAACTATCCATGAAAATTCAAGGTGATCGAAAAAGTTGATCTCATTTTTAACATCTTAAATCCAGTAAGCATTGTAAACTTACGGATAGTCTTCTGGAATATTACATAAAATGTTTAAGGTAAAGATCTTGACAAACATAATTTCCACCAATATTTAAAATGATCATAGAGTAAGACTTGAAAAATTATTTCTTAAGTAATAGGACTTTAATTACGGAGAGCACATCCATGAAAAGTCATATTTGCTTAATTGGATCTTTACGAATCTTCCAAAGGTTCTATAAAAGCAATACCGATTTCGTTTTTTTTTTTTTATTATCGCATAATAATAGTAATATGACTTTACAATCACATACAAAGAAGATTATATGTACCTTTACTGATTTGTTTGAACCTATGTATGTTTTTATTTAGTATAGTTAATAATTGTTAGGTGATATCACGTTTTTCTCTCGGAAATCTCGTCTGTCCTGAAATTGTTTTATACGTAATCAGAAAACACAATACATCTGTGAAAAATATTCATGTTCAATGTATTTTGATCGATGATTATTTAAATTAGCGTATGTGTTATTTGTTATATTTTGCGTCAAAAGTTTATTAACCGATTGGATGACAAGTTAGATAATCAAAAACTTGTTCTTTTGCTCAGTTGATGTTTTATAAGTTGACTATAGTTCTGTTCATTCTATTATATAATATATTCTTTATTTCATGTGAATGATGTAGGGTGATGAAAATGTGGATTATCTTTCTAGCATTTGGTAAGTGATATTTTTTTTAATTTTAAATTCTGAATAACGTTATTAAAGTCTTCCAAAATCATGAAGATCTATTTCTGAGTTGTCATTTTAGCGGTATTTTTAACATTGACATATAAGCGTGAGGTTTGGCTAGCCATTAAACCAGGTTCAACCCACCATTTTTTCTTAAAATTTCATGTACCAAGTCAGGAATATGGCAGTTGTTATCAAATAGTCCGTTTCTATGTATGTTGGCGTTTGTTTTTGGTGCAGTTCAGTGTTTCTGTTGTTCCGTTGTTTTCTTCTTATAGTTGATGTGTTTCCCTTGGTTTTGGTTTTTGACCCGGATTTGTTTTCGCTTAATTGATTTATGACTATTGAACAGCGGTATACTACTGTTGTCTTTATTTGACAAACAGTCATAATTAGTTAAAAGTAATGAATTTATCGTAAAACATCTAAAGCATTATCTAAACTTGTTTCTGCAATATAAATTTCTTTCGAAAGAAAAACATGATCTATCTTAAGATAGATATCTTAGACCAGGTGGCTTATTTCTGGGCATGTTGCAAAAATACTATTTTTGGTTTTAAAATAGTTTACAAAGTATCATTCAATATACAACAGAAACATCTAAAACGTGAAATTTAAAGATTAAACTAACAAAAAATTAAATGTCGTTAAGTGTATTTAAATTTTTTAATAAAAATCCTTTCAATTTGGAGTTCAGATAATTTATTTTTATTGAATTAGAAAGGACAATTTTGTGTTTTTTTTTTTTTTTTTTTTTTTTTTGGCAAGAAAAGAAGCACGTGATCCCCAATGTTTAGTTGTTATTTCGTAAGTATTAATAAAAAGCAATTCTCTAATTTAATTTTAACCAATTCTATCGTTTTATGTTTCCTCAATGAGGAACAATTAAACTTTCCCTAATTAACGCATATACAATAACTGTAATGTCGTTATTTCGATGTATATTTTTGACGAAAAACCAAGGTTCGCGACCCCGTAGTTTTTATAATTGTTATTGAAATTCGAAAGTGCATTGACTCAGAAGTCTCTTACAGAAGTTTAGGAAAAATCCATCAACGAACATTTAGACACCCCAGCTACCTTAATTTCAATATAAAGTAACGTTACGGATTACATTTTTAGGGGTTAAATTCAAAAATAGCTACCTACAGAATTTACAAGCATTAGACATTAAAGTTAGGATTATGTGGAGATTTAGTGCAGAAATTCATAATTAACACACTAACACATTCCTTCATCGTCTGTTTACGGATTCAGATTAACTCTTTGAAAAAGCCTAAACTGCAAAAACTCGAATGATTTTAAAGGGGCGGAAATATTTATGCAATCATCATTTCCGGCAGTTCGTCCGGTATATTCATATATACAATTACTGTTTCCGAGTGATAATTAAAAAGATAATGGTTTTACCAAATAATTCTGAAATTGTATACACAACATTAAAAATCAATAAGTTCCAATTTGATCCGACTATGTTCGATTTGATATTTTCAATTTAATAAGTTGTGGCTTTTATTTCATTTAAAATTGTGTTAATCTTGATTATATGAAGAGAAGATAAAAGTAGCATATTGTCCATTCGTCTTTGGTTTATTTTTGTGTAAAACGTTAGAAAATATAAGAAATACTGGGGTTTTAATAGAATTGAAGATCGGTGAGTATAAACAAATCTATTTAAAAAGCTTTCTATTTGTGTTTATTATTTATATCAGTTATTTTAGCAAGGTATGCTTCCCTGATATTATTACTAGCTTTCGGTTGGAGTTCTAATTACCAACTCGAAAACTTTAGTTTTTAAAATGTTCTCTGTTCATAAACGTCTGACATTATACGACCATAAACCTGTTTTGTTATCTTTGATTTGCTTCAATCGTCTTTTGTCCTCTGAGTCTATTTTATTAAACTACCATCCCAGGAAACCAAAGCACGAGGGTTGTAAAAGGAGTTATAATATTCATTTTGTGCATGTACATAGTATAATGACAACACAATAACAGATGATTTGAATTTTAAATTATTCTTCGAAGACATATTTTCACTTTAATGACTTCAAAGTCAGAATTTTGTTATTATTAACTATTTGTTCTGAATTTACTTGACACCTAAACATACAGAAGGAGTCTGAACTGTGTATTAATTTGACATTGAAATTAAAATATGTCAATCAATAAGTTTATCTTTTTTCTTTGAGATAAAGAAATAACAACAAAAAATCTATTGAGTGCATACAAGATTAAGCTACCAAAAAAATAAATAGATGAATATAAAATATTAGAAGGGTGAAGAATATTTAAAGAAACAAACACATCAGGTACTAGACGCCATACAAGATCGTGTAATTCTGTGCTGTTTATAACGATGATGTATAAAATCTATAAGTTACAACAGCTAGTATTAATGTGTAGGAAGGAATTATTTCATATCAGCTGACTAACTTTCCTATAACTGCTAGTATTTGTTATACAGTCACTAACGATCATTTTTACTGAAATTGAGTTTTTCAGTCAATTTTTAGACTAATCCACTGCGGTAACATCAGCACTGTTCAGACAATTCGCTTGCATTCAATTAAGATATGTTCAGTCGGACTGTTCAGTAGTTTTTATTTACCTGCACAAATCCACATCATACTGAATTGTCTGACAAGCTAATAAACAGTACTGAATTGACTGCAAGCGAATAATCTGAACAGAACTGGTGATACCTAATCCAATTATATGTCTGTATCCAATGAATCTCTGCAAATATAGGCATACCTCCTTATTTGTAGTAAAAACTCATCAAGGACACCAGGCTTATAATTTGGTACGTCAGACGCGCTTTTCATCTACAAAAAACTCACAAGTGGCGCTCATAACAAAGCAGTTGGAAGGTCAAACCAAAAACGAAGTAGTAAACGTTAACATGTAAAAGCCATTATAGTCACTGAACTCTTCCATCAGTATGTCTACAATTTACATATTGTGTACACAGTTAACGGTTGCATATAAACTATTAATGTAAACAATTAAAGCTAAGATGTGTCGCTAAACAATTATATTAATTGAGCATGTCTAGGTGATCTGCAAACACCCATCGCCATCTATCTATTACAATTAATGATTGCTCTTTCTCCAACTACATCTAAGCTTATCCATTCCTGCAAGCATTTCGTATCTTTTATAGTGCATAATATAAATGACTCTACACAGAATCTCTAATTTAGTGACAATATATATTTCTAATTCCTCTTTTGTAGCTACATTGTTGTGAATGTAAACGAATCTATGTATCTGTAGAATATAATTTCTCGTTGTAGAACTTATTCTGATCGGTATTCTGTTTATATCTGTTTGTTCTGGCCAGTGGGTGACTGTTTACAATTTTATTTCGGCGAGTTATATTTCAAGCTGGGGTAGTATTGTATTTTATTATTTATTCTCGATGTTCCAGTATTTATGTACTGTTGTCCATTCGCTTTTTTAAAATTAATTATATATTTCAATAAACTTAAATTGTTTTACATTTTGTTATGTCGGAACCTGTTACAGCTACCTATGCGTTATGGGTTTTGCTATTGTTGAAAGCCTTACAGTGACCTGTTGTTGCTAACATCTACATCATTGGTCCCTAGTGAGATAGTTGGCAATCATACCACATCACATGGTTTGGTAATGCTTTTGCTATCCAGGCTCTTAGATTCTTATTGACATGTCATTGAATAAATACAGATATGTATAAAATATGAATTAGAAGATCCAATTTCCTAATATTATTCAAGTAAAACGATTACTAGTATATGAAGCCCTGGTATTGTGTCACCGAAAATAATTAATTTACTGCTATATGTAACTTTATACAATTCAAAGGTTTTCTAAAATACAATATTCTAAGCTTCAAAGCTATTGACTACGTCACAACAAAAATACATGATTGTTTTAATTTCATCAATATAGTACTCGACATCCTTATCTTGCAAGTGAATAATTCATCAGCGATGTTTCTTTGCTTATTTTAAAAAAAATTGAACCAAATTGGCTGCTAAAAGCGAATTATTATTTCATTATTTCACTTTTATTAATAATTGAACCAAACTAAATCATATTCTTTTTTTTTCATATCTCGTAGCTAATGCCCCTTTAATAAACATTTACTATATAGGACTGATTTCATATCTTAAAAGCTCATCAAAGATACCAGGCTTATAATTTTGTACCCCAGACGCGCGTTTCAACGATCGTAACAGTGGTAATTTATTTTCCCGCTGTCACTTAAATGCTTCAGTTAATCAATTGTTTACTTGATTTCAATTACCTTAACATATGGGTAAAACGACATGAGTCGGCACGATACGAATACCCCTAGCAGCCTCATCGCGGAAGGTTTATCAAACGAAACGATACTCAAGCTTGATCTATTTCTCATAATTATACTCTGATGTACTAGAAATTATCTCTAATTTACAGAAATTTATAAGAAATCCGAACAAATTTTTACTAAAATCATTTAATCTGGATAAGACTATTAAGTACGAATTTCATAATATGTATAAATTTCAGGGACAGAACATCCATGAAATTCTGTCATCCATAAAGAAATGAAAATTCAATCTGTAAGTCATGATTATTTATACAATAGTTATCGTGATATATGGACTGCCCACAGGACAGTGGTATTGACTAAGACAGCGATAATGTCATTATCGCTGTCGCAGTCAATACCACTGTCCTACAGGCAGTCCATGTATCACGATAATGACCAGTTCTTCATAACTATTATGTTTATTTCATTGAGGAACCATGTTTTTAAAAATTCTCATAAATTCTAATTATTCAAAGCAAACTCGAGTTATTGTACGATTTCTATAGGAAAGAGTGAAGACCAGTCATAGTGATAACTATAAGTCACTGCCATTCATTTAAGTGCAATTTTTTCAGTATATGAATACAAAATAAAGATTCTATAATTTTATAATTCTTGTTACAAAATAGTTTGTAGGGCTCGGCTAA